GCCACTGAATCCTGCAGTTGCCACTTATTAGCTGTGTGACAAGTAACATATACTTAATTTTCTCAGCCCTGTTTGAAAGTGGAGATAATGATACCTACCTTGCAGGGATGCTGTGAGTTTCAAATGAGATAGTGGGTGTAACGTGCCTGGCATTATGCCTGGCGAGTGGTAGTCGTTAAATAAGTGCTGGTTCTCTGAGGTCTTCTGTCAGACAGTGGCTAAGGCTGCTGTTTTCCAAGCAGGCTTAGGGAAGAGCCCAGGACCTTGTGAGTTCTGTTGCTTGGGGAGGGGATGGTGCTCAGAGCTCCTTTCCTTTTTCCTTTGTGTTTGAATCATAAGTTGGGTTCCTCTTACCAGAAGGTTAGATCTCCCAGATGCCACTGTCAGGCACACCTAAGCCTGGGTCTAACAGGGATTACAGGAAATGAGAGACTTTGGAATTTGGGCTTTTATAACCTTATCAAAACCTCAAGTTTCCTTATTTGTAAAATGGGGGTAGTATTAGACCGACTCATAGCAGCATTATGAGGTTAACTTAACTGGGATAGTATTGTGTAGAGCAAAGCACCGGGCACATAGCTGGTACTCAGTGAGAGATAGCTGCGCTCATTAGTTGGCCACGTCTGGACTGGAGACAGAGGAGGCCCTGCTTGAATAACCTTTCTCTCCCTCTCTGTTTCTCCTTGCAGCAGCAAGGTGGGACACAAAGGCCCCGTGCTAAGCACCTATAATCCTCTGGGGCTGCCACCCCTAGAGCCAGCATTGCCACCATGTTTAACCTAATGAAGAAAGACAAGGACAAAGATGGCGGGCGTAAGGAGAAGAAGGAGAAAAAGGAGAAGAAGGAGCGGATGTCAGCGGCGGAGCTGCGGAGCCTGGAAGAGATGAGCCTGCGACGTGGCTTCTTCAATCTGAACCGCTCCTCCAAGCGTGAATCTAAGACGCGCCTGGAAATCTCCAATCCCATCCCCATCAAAAGTGGCCAGCGGCTCTGACCTGCACCTGACCGACATTGACTCCGACAGCAACAGGGGCAGCGTCATCCTGGACTCAGGCCACCTGAGCACAGCCAGCTCCAGTGATGACCTCAAGGGTGAGGAAGGCAGCTTACGCGGCTCCGTGCTGCAGCGGGCAGCCAAGTTTGGCTCCCTGGCTAAGCAGAACTCACAGATGATTGTCAAGCGCTTCTCTTTCTCCCAGCGCAGCCGGGATGAGAGTGCCTCAGAAACCTCCACCCCCTCGGAGCACTCTGCAGCCCCGTCTCCACAGGTGGAGGTGAGGACTCTAGAGGGACAGCTGATGCAACATTCTGGCCCAGGCATCCCTCGACCAGGACCTCAGTCCCGAGTCCCTGAGTTGGTGACTAAAAGGTTCCCGGCTGACCTGCGCTTGCCCCCCGTGGTACCCCCACCACCCCCCGCTCTCCGGGAGCTGGAACTGCAGCGTCGGCCCACAGGGGACTTTGGCTTTTCCCTGCGGCGCACAACCATGCTGGATCGGGGCCCTGAGGGACAGGTCTATCGGAAGGTGGTTCACTTTGCTGAGCCCGGTGCGGGCACCAAGGACCTGGCCCTGGGGCTGGTGCCAGGTGATCGTCTGGTGGAGATTAATGGGCACAACGTGGAGAGCAAGTCCAGGGATGAGATTGTGGAGATGATCCAGCAGTTTGGGGACAGCGTGCGGCTCAAGGTGCAGCCCATCCCAGAGCTCAGTGAGCTGAGCCGGAGCTGGCTGCGGAGTGGCGAGGGACCCCGCAGGGAGCCAGCCCATGTGAGTGTTTACCGGGGCATCCAGGGGCGAGCAGGGGTTGGGGATGTTGGCATCTCCTGTGATTGTACTTGGGAGGATGGTTGGGTAACCAAGAGCTGTTGTCAGGGCCTAGCGAGTGTGGAAGTGGTAAAACCATGCCACTCCTTGGACTCCAGGACAATTTACCTGACCTGTGGGGAGGAGCAACCTCAGCAGGTGTGATATCTGGCGATACAAGCTTCCTGATACTAGGGTAGGTTAGAGGTTTAGGCACCGTATTTCCTGAGCCCTAAATTGGGGCATAGAGGCTAACATATGCCACTTCAGGTATGAGAGATGATCTGGACTACTATAAGTCCAGACTGGTATCTGGACTGAAATATAGGATTTCCATTATTTAGATATTGGAGGTGAAAAGAAGATAAATTATTTCAAATCAGGGCTCATGTGGAACATCTGTGATGTGCAACTGCTGTGGTAGCTCCTGGGGTGATGACCTCAGGCTTCCTTTTACTCCTGAGTGAGTGAGGAGTTGAAGACCAGGTTAAGGTTGTAGAGATAAACAGGGGTCAGATCATGGAGGACCTTGTAAATAATGGTAAGGGTTTAGATCTTATCCCAGTGAAATGGGATGATTGTAGGGTTTTCAGCAGGGGAGTGACTGGATCTGATTTTTAAAGATCACCTGGGCTCCAAGAGTCTTTATTATCTCCGAGAAGAAGAAAAAGCACAGCCCTGGAAAGGCAACAAGGATCAACCCTACAGAGACAGTATGACTTGACTGTCCCTGAGATCCCAGCTGTTATCCTGCCCACACGAAACAGCCACAGAAGAGGGTGACAGAGGAGCAGAAGAGATTGAGATTAGATGTATGCACATCTCTAAGCAGGACGGAGATCTCTAACGCCAGGGGTCTTTTCATAGAGTGGCTACATATTAGTTTGGAATGTTCTGCCTAGAGACAGTACATGAGGGACAAGTTGGCCTCTGGCCATCCCTTTCTCCCAGCTGGAGGTTTTAGGACTGTCCAGATCTGGTCCCTGCAGCCTGACCACTGCACAGCCTGGCCAGGACCTTTCAGCACTAAGTGACCGGCCAGATGCGTCTAAGTCAGAAGTGGGAGGAAATGCTAAGGAAGCAGGCAGGGTCCTGGTTGTAGCTTTCTCCCGGGGAGGGGAAGTGGATGCTCAGATGGCTATCCAGCCTGGCAGCATCTCGGGCCTGGAGGGCCTGGGAGCAGCAGGGTCAGGCTCTGGCAGGAAGCACTGGAATTGGGTTCCAGATGTTCTTTTACCCTGGAGCTGGTGGGGTCAGGCAGCTTTGCTAGACAGGAAGGGGTTGTGAGTGAGAGCGAGCCTGTCGCGGAGTCCAGGGAAGGACCCGGACTTGTTATTTCCGGAAACGCACATCAAGCACCTACTATGGGTTAGCCACCAGGCTAGACTGAACTCAGGGGACCACAGCTTAGAGGCAGTGGTCTTTATCTCAGAACCAAAGATCATACCATGTTGCCAAGTCTGTCTGCTTCTACCAGGCTACCATTGCTTGTAACAGATGGAATTTTCTTCTTCTTAAAGAATGAATCCCCCTGGGGAATTGTTGCCAGCTCCCTGCTGAACTACAGAGCAGGCCTCCGTGGGGCCCTGGGCCTGGCATCCCAGACGCTGTTTAGTTTTGTCTTTATAGCGCAGGGATCATCCTGGCATCTCAAATTTCCTAGCCACACAGGAATTTCCTTCCCTTCACAGCTAGCTGCTGCTATCCCATCCCTGGGGAAGTGGATGGTTTAGCTTTGGAGGCCCCAGTGGTTTCCACATTACAGCTGGTATCCTTGAAATGCTGACTTATCCTTGCCCCGGTGGGGCAAACCCAGCTGGTACCCAGAGGACTTCTTCCTTCACCTGGGGGACCGGGCAGGGGACATAGTAGAGTGCCTCATCTTCATGAGTCTCTTAGAGCCATCTGACAGGACAATGGGGTTAAGAGAGGCCCCTGGTCTTTTCCTACCTGGAAAGGTGGTAGGGACTCAGGCTACAGCAGAGAGGAGCCGAGTGAGCCCAGCATTGCAGCTTCCTGGGACGGACCCCAGAGCTGGTGTGGGAGTGCTGCAGCCTCTTCTGCGGCTCTCCTCCTCTATCTCCTCCTCTTCCTCCCACTCCTACTTCTGCTCCTTTTCTTGGCAGCAGTTCTAATCCCAGTTTCATGCCAAGAAAAGAGTCTTCCCGCCTCCTCCAGGCTCCTGGGCGGGGTACCCTGACAACTCTAGCCCCACGGGGACAGCTCCTGGCGGCCACCCTGCCCATCAGGCCATCCATCAACTGCGTCCACACATTGCCTGTCCCCAGGGAGCTCTGAGGGAGCTGGCTAGCCATCTGTTCTCTTTCTGCACACAGATGGGGGCCAGGCCCCATGGCTTTTCTCCATGACCTCTTCAGAAGGCCTCAGGGAGAGACAGCCCCTTGGGTTTCCTTCTCACATGGTGTGTGTCCACAGTGCTTGGCTCACACCTTCTTCATGTATCCCTGTAGCTGCTAGACAGGGTTCCGCTGGGAGCAGGGGTGAACTACTGTAGTAAGATAGACTTGGGGCCTGATAGGAATCACTCAACTGGCCTGTAAGGAGCAGCTCCTCTTCTGCTGTCTGGTCTTCCACTCTCCTGTCTATTAAACAGACATTTGTTGAGCACTTCCTGTGTGTAGGTCCTGGAGTCCAGGAGTGAGCAGCACATAATCCCAGCGCCAAGGAACTCATAGTCTAGTGGAAGAGATGGTCAAATAGCAGACAAGGATAATGCCACTTGAGAAGCTCAATGACAGGGGCCAGGACACGGTCCTAGGGAGCACAGAAGAGGGACTTCTAGTACAGCCTTAGGAATGTGTCAGGGAAAATTGACATCCGGGTGGGAAATGAGTGTCGAGGAGGCAAGAAGAGGAAGAGAAAGGCTGTAAGACATGTCAAGAACCAGAGGTTGAAGAGAATGACACATCTGGGGAATAAGACTGGGAGATAGTGTGGGGGGCAGTATTGAGAGAAGCAGTAGGAGAGGCAAAGGCCAGGTTATGACGGCCCGTGTGAGTTGTGCTAGAGAATGTGAGCTTTAACCTAAGGGTGAGGAAGCAATTTAATTAAGGGTGAGTTGTGCTAGAGAATGTGAGCTTTAACCTAAGGGTGAATGATAGGAACAGGGTTTCGAAAATCTCTCTGGCTGCTTATGGAGAATGCTTTCAGGTGTAGCAAGGATAGCAGTAGTGAGGGAGCTGTTGTAGTGATCTTAGTAGAATGAATGGAGGCCTGAACTCGAGTAGAGGCAGTGGAGATGGAGAGACATATCAGACACAAGCAACAGAGGTAGGCTCTGTAGTCTTTTTAATTTTTTTAATTGAAAGGTAGCTGGTTTACAGTGTTGTGTTAGTTTCTGGTGTACAGCAAAATGATTCAGTTTATATATATATATA